TGGTATTGAAAATGGGCAATTTCGGTTCACATTTTTGGACACCCGAAAAAGAGCTTTAACGGGCATATCTGTTTTAAAAGTACTACAATAGCGATGAAATTCGACACAAATACGTTTCATATATGTAAACCTCCCTACCAAATTTTATGAGAATTGGTCTATAACTGACCATACACCCCATATAAGGTTCCCTTCAAAAAATGACTTTAACGTTCATTTCTGGCTTAAAAATACGAGTGGAGGGCCCATAATTTACTCTACCCCGCAGTAGAGTAAAGTGATGGAATTCGACCCAAGTAAGTTCCAACCAAAATCTCTTAAACAAATTTTATGTGGATCGGTCCATAATTGACCTTACCTCCCATAAGATCACCTATAGATAATTAATTTAACGCTCATTACTGTCTTAAAAGTACGAATATAGAGATGAAATTCGACTTAAGATCGTTTCTTACGAGCCAGAACCTCTCTATTGACTTTTATGAGAATCTGCATATAATATAAGCTCCTTTCAGAAAATGGCTTTAAAGCTCACTACTGGGAAAAGCGATGAAATTTGACACACAAATGTTTTATACGAGTTAAAATCTGTCTTCCAAATTTATTGAGGATCGGTCAATAAGGAAATTACTTACATAACGTGTTTCTGGAGAGGTTTCCTACTAGTTTGGCATTTGTAGACCTCAGGCGGTTTCAACCCTACTCACCAGACACAGAAACGAACACTAAACAAAAAGAGAAAACTACAAATAGACAAACACTGATACTAACAAACCAAAACAACCACATGAAGATATTCTGAGACAGCTGTTCGTCTATTCTGCCCTCCCAACCTTGTCGTAGCTGCATCTAATTGAGGCGTACGACCCAAAATCCACTTGACTTCCTTCACTTACCAATCTATCATTATCCGCACCTAGCTATATAACCAGTATAGAACATATTATATTTCAAGAACAACAATCATATCGTTTATTAAAATACAATTTAACGTTTCTTAACTTATATTAAGGTAAATTACAATTATTAATGAAACAAATATGGATACTTATGATATATTTTTCCCCCGCATATAACACTTATATTAACTTCTATCATCGTAGATTCAATTCAAAAAAAAAATCTCTCTATCTAGCGCACAAGTTAATTTTCCTTCCTCTAATTTTGGTTTCGACGGTTTCTATAATTTTACTCATACCTAAAAGAGCTCTCTGAGGTCGTATAATACCTGTCACCATACATTCTAAATAACTACCGCGTTACTTGGGCTCTAGATTCACAATTCTCGTTTAATTCACGACGATCGAGGAATAAGTGTATACACACATAAATAGACAGCACATATGTACACATCAACTAGTACATTCAACGCGACACTTATAATCTTGGTTCACTGAAACACGACTAAACTTAATGTTAACTTAATCTATATTTTGGGATGTTGTTATCCATTTGTATTTTTCCCAGATCTAATCTGTATCAAGACTAGATATTAAACGTTAAAATTTTCCTTTTACAAAAAATCTACTCCTGATCTTTCTTCACGCACTGTTGCCAGATTTGACGATTTATCGTTATTTTGACGATTTTCAGTGTCAAAAATTACCCATTGACGATTTGACGATTTTAACTCTAAATTTGACGATTTTTAAAACAGGATGTTAGCACAAATTTTCATAATTTTTATCATTATTTTATCTAATATTTAAAAGCAAATCGAAGCATATTCAGAATATTCTATAAATATGTTAATAAAATTAAGAATTATAATGACTTACAACAAAAGTATAGGTATATTGGCCTAATATTTGTCGTAAAAGCGAAACCAATTATACTTTTATGACCAACACTTATGGTACTACTCATGCAGTGTATTGTGGAACTATGAAAATAGGTTGTGGAAGGAGGCTAGAGGAATTAGCTTTTATTGAGTAAATGGAATTATAATTTCGTTGAAGAAGAAAAAGCTATCTAAACTCCTTTGGACAATTTTTGCTAGGAACAATAGGTGAAAAGTTACACTTATTTAAAAAGGATTCTGTATGACCAAAATGTCCAACTTTGATCCCCTCTAACTACGGTAGTTCCGGACCGATAGAACTGAAAACATGTATTTGGCCTACTATCCAATAGTACTAACCGTGGTGAAAATTTCATCCAAATCGATTTTTTGAGTTGGGTCACTTGACACGAAATTGCCCATATATTAAAAAAAATGTTTAAAAAAAACCGACCAAAAATATGGAATACTAAAAACATCCCATACATATTCATATCAAATAGTTTACAAAAATGCAATATCTGTTCTTTCGAAATATATTTGCCAAATTAAACAGATAATAAAACTAAAACTATCAAAATTGATAAAAATGTCTCGACAGTTAAAAAAATAATAAAAATAGAGGTAGAAATACCATCAAATATTTATATTATGTATGGAAAATAGTTTTGACGATTTAACGACGATTTGGAAAAATTAATTGACGATCTTGACGATTTTCTTCTCGAAATTTGACGTTTTGGCGCCCAAATCATCTGGCAACTATGTCTTCACGTCTTATTTACGGAGTTTGTTTAAAAACACGGATTATTTATTATGTTTCACTATGCTCCTTGCCAAATTCAATAAATTGTAGGCCACTTTAAGTGGTCTGTGTGGTTTTGGAAGGTGTCAATTAATCCAACAATCCTCCTTATAATAGCCAGCTGAGTCAAAAGATAAAAAAAATTAAATCAAGACGACGTTTTATCACAAAAATGTATATAATACATTTACGTTTCATTATTAATTGTTCTTTTGTAATTGCCACCACAAAAATATTAAATTAGTAACCACACAGAAAAAATGGTTAAGATCGGTCCATTATTTCACCTAGCCCCCATACAACTGAACCTCCGAGTAGGGCTTGTAAACCTTGTAATCAAACTACAGGTCGCAATTTTTGAAGTTTGAAATTTGGCACACGATCTTCTATATTATCGGAGACGAAGTCTATTGAAAATGGTTTACATCGGTCCATTATTTCACCTAGCTCCATACAACTGAACCCCCGAATAGGGCTTGTAAACCTTGTAATCAAACTACAGGTAGCAATTTTGGAGATAATTCAATGAAATTTGGCACATGATCTTCTATGTAACCGGAGACGAAGCCTATCGAAAATAGTTAACATGGGTCCAATATTTCACCTAGCCCCCATACAACTGAACCTGCCGAATAAGGCTCTTAAGTTCATAATTATGTTTAATATACTCGTATCTCGACAAAAAGCTGCAAAACCAAGTTCTATATTAGCCTTTATGATTCTCATGAATTTTATAATTATAGGGTCTCATTTGACCATAGCCCCTATACAAAGCCCCGTTCAAAATTTGACTTAAATATCCAAAATTTTATTCAACAATAAATGGCTTAAGTACATCTGAGACAAGGTACAATTCAACTTAAATGCTTTATTATGAAAACTAAATCACATTTTAATTTTGTAACAGGTGTAGGGTATTATATGGTCGGCCTCGCCGACTATAATTTCTTACTTGTTCCGTGTTAATAACAAGTAAGAGTGCTATATTCGGCTGTGCCGAATCTTATATACCCTTCACCATAGTGTATTTAAAAAATATCAATTTTATTAATTTTTTATGAATTTTTCAAAGGTTGTCTCGGATTTTTGCTTATATCTCCGTTGTTTAGGACGTATTTTGCTGATTTTAAATAGGAAACTTCTCGTGTCTGATAGGATTGTTGAAAATTTGGATCCCGAAAACTGATTTCAACAGACAGAGAGACAGACGGACATGGCTTAATCGACTCCGCTATCTATAAGGATGCAGAATATATACTAATAGGGTCGGAAAATTATATTTTGGAAATTATAAACGGAATGACAAACTTATATATGTATACCCTTCTCACGAAGGTGACAACAAACAACAGACAAAACATAAACAAAACACAGTGCCAGCAGTTCTACTTTGGATTCGGATCACCCGCAACAAAACTCCGGTTTCGCTGGCGCCAGTCAGAGGGAACGGTGTGCGGGTTATTATGAGCTGAGAAGCCCAACGTGGGGACTCTCACGACCCTGGGACAATGTTAGCCAGGCAATAAATTCGTAAATATATGCTTATTAGAAATTATAAACAACTTTTTTTGAGTGTCTGTTTTCTTTCAGGAAACCTCGCAAACTCTACTTTTCCCTAGGAATTTTGATTGTGGTTGATCCGGTTATGAAATACTTCCTACCATCTACAGATTTTAACTCTGCCGAATTTTTTCGCTTTTCTAAGGAAAAAATCGTAGAGGAAACCCAAAAAAAAAAAAACAAGCAAGTTACAAAATTAAAATGTGATTTAGTTTTCATAATAAAGCATTTAAGTTGAATTGTACCTTGTCTCAGATGTACTTAAGCCATTTTTTGTTGAATAAAATTGTGGATATTTAAGTAAAATTTTGAAGGGGGCTTTGTATAGGGGCTATGGTCAAATGAGACCCTATAATTATAAAATTCATGAGAATCATTAAGGCTAGTATAGAACTTTGTTTTGCAGCTTTTTGTCGAGATACCAGTATATTAAACATAATTATGAACTTAAAAGCCTTATTCGGCGGGTTCAGTTGTATGGGTGCTAGGAGAGGCATCGTCTCCGATACAATAGAAGATCGTGTGCCAAATTTCATTGAATTATCTTAAAAATTGCGACCTGTAGATTGATTAAAATGTTTACAAGCCCTACTCGGTGATTCAGTTGTATGGGGGCTAGGTGAAATAATGGACCGATCTTAACCATTTTCAATAGGCTTCGTCCCTATGGCAATAGAAGGTCATGTATCAAATTTCATTGAATTATCTTCAAAATTGCGACCTGTAGTTTGATTACAAGGTTTACATGGACGGACAGACGGACGGACATAGATAAATCGACTCAGAAAATGATTCTAAGCCGATTGGTATACTTTAAGGTGGGTATAGGGCCAATATTATTGTGCGTTACAAACATCAGCACAAACCCAATATACCCTCCCCACTAAAGTGGTGTAGGGTATAACAAATAAAAGTTCGTGTTACTGGATTTTCACCAGCAGTACACAGATTTGTGCTTAAAGTAAATCGAACACCTACAAAAATATTTGGCTGTTGGGGCAAAAAGAAAAATTGACATCTAACTTAACTATTAACACGGGTTACACCTCTATAATTTTCCCTTTCCGGAGAAGATACTTAACATCCACATCTGGCATTTCTCCCTGAAATTCTTTTAAGGATAAAAGATTCAGAGATCGTGTAATATCTCTTTACCGAGTAAACGCAGCTATTTTACGGGAAGTACTTATTGTGTTTAATCAATAATATGAATATTTACTTTGTGATATTTTCTGTTTCCATTTCAGATTTCCTATTAATAAAGTGGACAAGTTATCAAATACAACACAGATTCTACATCTTTATTGCACTCAAGTATATCTTATCCTAAACACGTAAGAACAAAACATCACAAATCAAACACTCATATCACAAATTTTATCACAGGGATTTCCGTTTAAGAATATAGCGGTTACTTAAAAACTGATATTGCACTATAACATTTGAAGAATGTTATCAATGTGCATTCATGAATGTCTCATGAGTGTCTTACAGGACCTACCACGTTTCAATTAGGTTATTTGATAGGAGGATGTATGCTACATCAAATCCGAAGGAATTACACCTAGGCCACTATCGGGCCTGTTGTGCGCTCCAATTCATGAAAAAAAAAAATTGTTCACTGAATGTATTATTTTTCCATGTTCAGATACTCAGTTTCCTGGACGTAATTCCTAAGAATCTTCCAATCGGTGTTGGTTAAGAGTGTTCTTTCCGGAATAACATCACTTCCAAGATACTTGGATCTAACTTTGACGAATGTCTGACAATGGCAAAGAAAGTGTTCCAAAGTTTCACTATCCTCTCCACATGCTCTACATTCGTCTGAATCCGCACGTCCAATTTTGTATAGATGTGCACGTAATCCTGTGTGTCCACTCAGAATACGTTCCATCATACTAACCTCAGACTTGCTCATTTTGAGGAGATTTCTCGTCTTGCTCTCATCAGGGTCACCCCATAGAATCTTTGTGGTTCTACCCACCGTTTCATTATTCCAAAAGGCCTTATGGGATTCTCTCATCCATATTTTTAATTCAGCTTTTGTTGCGTCAAATGGTTTTGCGTTTGTCAGGTTAACTACATCGAGCTCCCTTCCCTTTAAAGCTATTACATTCGCCCTTTCGTTGCCGACTACTCCCGAGTGGTCTGGTACCCATATGATGTAAACCTTACCTCTGGGAGAGTATTCAGTTAAAGCTTTCTTACAATCCAATACGGTCTTAGATTAAATTCTATCACCTGATATCGCCCAAATTGCCTTCTGGCTGTCGGTAAATATATTAAGCCCTGTGGGCGCCATATTTATTCTAATCCAATTTACACATTCCGTTATTGCTCGTACTTCTGCCTGGAAGCTTGTGTTATGATTAGGTAAACGGTGGTATATTTCTGTTTCTGGGTCTTCAATATAGAACCCACTTTGTCCCTTATTTAGAGCCATCCGTGTACCAACGGATTCCTACTGGTATTTGCTCTAATGTTCCGCTTGACCAACACATTCTATCTGGGATTTGCGTTTCAAAGTTTCCGACATATTCTGTGTCTGGTATGAATGTGTATAACCTTCCAATGTGTCCAGGACGTGTCCTATAACCGTTTTTGGCCAGTTCGCCTAAAGTAAAGAGCCGTTCGGCTGTAAGCGCCGCCTCATATCTTATATATGTTTCAATGGGTGGAATATCTAGCAACGTTTCCAGAGCCTTTGTTGAAGTAGTACACATGGCACCACTTATAACCAAGCACCATGTACGCTGAACTCCCTGTAGTAGTTTGATGTTACACTTTTTGTCCAAAGCAGTCCACCAGATTATTGAAGCATAAGCTAGAATTGGTCTAATTACACTTTTATAAAGCCAATTTGTCATAGTAGGACTAAGACCCCATTTCATGCCTATGGTTCTCCTACATATCGCCCAGCACCGATGTGCCTTGTTGATCCTATCCTATATGTGGTGTCTCCATTTTAATTCCCGATCAAGTATTACACCTAAGTACTTAACTTCGTCTGTCACCGGTATCTTCTTGCCCAGGAAGCAAGGTTCAGTATATGTAGAAACTTTTGTCTTTCTTGTGAAAAGACAGATTTCCGTCTTCGCCGGGTTAAGATTGAGGCCTCTCGGTTGAGCCCAGCTCAAGGCCGTATTCAGAGCCTCTTCAGCTCTTCTACACAAGTAATTTGGATCCTTTCCCTTTAAAAGTATTACGACATCGCCTGCATAGCAGACAGGTCTAAGTCCTTTCTCGGTTGGGGTCCTTAGGAGGCTATTAATCGTGGTAACCCAGAGTAAAGGTGACAGAATGCCACCCTGTGGTATACCGCGAAATACCTTTTTCCTGATAGTTATATCGTACATCTCGCAGCTTATCCATCTGTTCCTTAGCATGTAGTTGATCCAATTACGGAGCACCCGGTCAACATAAAACTGGTCCAGGGATTGGATAAGGGTATCAGTGTGCACGTTATTGAAAGCGCCTTCGATGTCAATGCATACCGCCAGTGTATACAGTTTGCTATCGAAAGATTCACCTATGTAGTGGACGACTTCGTCTAAAGCGGTTTCCACCGATCGTCCCTTTACATAAGCATGCTGCTTATATTTAAGGTCTTTGTATGGTATACTGCTTTTAACCATGCTATCGACTATCCGTTTCAAGGTTTTAAGTAGGAAGGACGTAAGACTTATCGGTCTATAGGACTTAGGTGTCTCATAGCTAGGTTTCCCAGGTTTGGGTATAAATATTACCATTGCATCTTGCCATTTAACTGGGGTATATGCCAATTTTAAGCATGCAGTGAATATCTGTGACAGATGTACGGAAACCAGTCCCGCCTCCATCTGCAAAAGTGCCGGGAAAATGCCATCCGGCCCTGCAGCTTTATAGGGAGCAAAGCTCTTGATTGACCCTTTAACCATGTCAGATGTAATCACTATTTGGGTGTTACCCTCCCCTTCCTCCAATATCGGTTCATCTATGTTATTCGATATACCGGGTGGAAATGAGAGTCCATTAGGAGTTTCATTGTCTCCTCCATATCCTCAAGCCTCCTGCCCGTGTCATCGATCATAGATTCCGGTTGGACATGAGTTTTGGATAGGATTTTTTTATCTTCGATACGTCATCTATGCTGTCTATCTGTTCACAGAAAAGTTTCCAGGAGGCTCGTTTGCCTTTACGAAAAATTTTCTTATATTCACCAAGTTTACTACGATACCCATCCCAGTATACTGCTGTCTTTTTACGCCGTGCCCGTTTAAATAGTTTGCGAAGAGTCTTACCAAGGTTCCGGATCTCCCCGGTTGCACAGTGTTTTTCCTGGACAAATCTTCGCTCTCGCAGAGGGCAGCTGTCCTCGAACGATTCAACCAATGCACTTGTGAGCATTTCTACTTTGGCGTCTATGTCTTCTTTATTTCGACATTGAAAAGTGTCCTGACATAAACTGTTCTTTAGTAATGAACCGAACATTGTCCAATTAGTTTTAGACTTATTCCGAAACTTTATCGGCTTTGGTGCTGGCCTTAGTATTTTGAATTTTGAGCATTTCTACTTTGACGTCTATGTCTTCTTTATTTCGACATTGAAAAGTGTCCTGACATAAACTGTTCTTTAGTAATAAACCGAACATTGTCCAATTAGTTTTAGACTTATTCCGAAACTTTATCGGCTTTGGTGCTGGCCTTAGTATTTTGAATCTTATGTGCCGATGATCAGAAAAGGAGTGCTCGTCCGAAACTCTCCAATCCTGAATTTCGTTTATAAGCTCTTCTGAACATATAGTTATATCTAATACTTCTTCTCTGATTCTATTGACGAAGGTAGCTTTATTACCTAAGTTCAATGTTATCAAGTCTTTAGTATTAAGGAAATCCATGAGGGCTTGTCCCCTGCGATTGGTGTTTGTACTACCCCAAGCTACATGGTGCGAGTTGGCATCACAACTTATTACAATTTTCTTATTTTTTCTTTGTGCCTCTTCAACCAGTTTCATCAGATCCGACGTTGATGGTAGTGTCGGAGAATCGAAAGGCAGGTAAACGTTTCAATTACGTTCGTGATTAATTACACTGTGTGACACTAAAAAACACTCGTTACGCGATATAATGCTTTTTATAGACCTAGATGAGTAGATCATTTTACCATTTTTAGAAACTTCAATATACCCTAAAAATCGAAGATATTGGAAAAAAACGCTTTTTGTTGACTAGACAGACCAAAAAACTTATATCTCAAAATTTTCTTAACCGATTTAATATTTTTCAACGGTTTTGAAAACAGTTTCCCTTTTTAAAAAGTATACACACTTTTATATTTTTTACGGAAATGTGTAAAATATTTAGATCTGAATACAAATTTTTATATATTTTTTTCATTTTTTTTAAATTAAAAATCATTTTTGACCCACACTTTTTTTTAATTATTTTTTTATTTTATTTTTATTTATTTTCTATGAATAAAATAATATGAAACGTTTAAATCAGATAAAAACTGACAGAAATAGAATTTTTTTCGTAAAATCAAAAATTTACTAAATCTCTCATTTCTAAAGTAAATTATCAATTTGAATAATAGAGCTTATATTTGTTTTTATATTGAACCGATAGTGAAAACATTTTACAGTATCATATCTATATATAAAATATTTGTGCCAAAATTTGTATGAATACAATTATTTGGTAATGAGTTATGTACGTTTAAGTGATTTTCGTGAGCGGACCATGTATGGGAGCTATGAATATGGACCGATCGTGAAAACCCTTTACAGTATAATTTCTGTAAATAAAGGCAATATTTGTGCCAAAATTTGTATGGATATCATTATTTGGTAATGAGTTATGTGCGTTTAAGTGATTTTCGGGAAGGAACCTTGTATGGGAGCTATGACCAAATTTTGATCGATCGTGAAATAATTTACAGTATCATTTCTGTATATAAAGGCAATACTTGTGCACAATTTTGAAAGGATATTATTATTTGGTAATTAGTAATGTGCGCTTTCGTGATTTTCGGGAGGGGACCTTGTATGGGAGCTACGGCAAATTATGGACCGATTAAGAAAAATTTTACTCTATATGAATTCAATTGACATAAAACTTTTACTTTTTAAAGTTTGTACAGATATTTTCATTATACCAGAAGTAATTAACAATAAATGCATTTTCGGGGAATATGTACATTTGTATGGGAGATATATGAAATTGTGGACCGATTCCGCCCATTTTTAACAAGAATCAAGCTTTCACATAGAAATAAATGTGTGCTAATTTTTATGAAATTATATCGCATAATTTTTGTGAAAACTGTATTAGAATGTGATAAAAAAACTTAATTT